TGAGCTGTCTCTACTGTTTCCTGCTCAAATTTCTCACCCACACAATGGTAAGCAAAATCAATCTGTATTGGTTTAAGCCACTAAGTTTGGAGTGGTTTTTACGCAGCAGTAGATAATAGACAGGAGTAAATATAGTGTAGCCAACTCTGGCGGTCTACTGGTGAAGATTCGACGCCCTTGCCACAGCAGCCTGGGTTTGTTTCCTGTCAGAGAATCACGCTACCCATCTGTCCCACCCATCTTTCAGTTGTCATACTGTGGCAGGCTGAGTGTTGCTGTGATGTTGAAAGCTATGCCACGGGTGTTTCAAATACCAGCAGAGTCACCCATGGTGGACAAGTTTCAGTGGAGCTTCCAGACTAAGACGGACTAGGAAGAAGGACCTGGCCATCCGCTTCCAAAGAAATTGGCCATGAAAACCCTATGAATGGCAGTGGAGCATTGTCTGATACAGCACCAGAAGGTGAGAGGATGGTGCCAAAAGACTGGGCAGGGTTCTGCTCTGCTATACACAGGGTCACTAGGAGTTGAAATCAACTCAACAACACTAACAACAACAACAAAGTACAGTGTAGTAGTTCAGGGCATGAACTCTGGAGCCTCATTGCCTGAGTCTGCATCCTAGCTCTGTCACACACACGCTCTGTGGCCTTGAGCATGTTACCGAATCACTCTATGCCTCAGTTTCCTTAGCTGCAAAATGGGAATAATAATAGTAGCTAACCGCTTCATAGGTTGCTGTGAGCATTAAATGGGTTCATACATGTAAAGGCACTTGGATCAGTACCTGGCACACAGCCAGCACTGTCCACGTGTTAGCTGCCATGTTTCCAAAGCCAGGCTCCCAGTTAGATCAGCCTAGTCAGATGGCTGCGACAGAAGGCTGTTGGGAGCAGCTTGTAGGGACCATAGCACGTGAGAACAGAAAGATGTTCCTGATAACTGGCTTGTTGCATGGAATCACTGGAACTGGTGTGCCAGCACTGCTGGGATGAAGGGCTGTGGTTCCTCCCCAAGTCCCTTCCCTTTTGGAGACTGTTTTAATTCAAAGGGGAGACCCCCACGCAGTTTAGTTAACACTGAACAGAAGACACGAGGCCTTAAGTCTGGGTTTGGACTTGCCTTGACTCAGCTCCATCATGTTGAATAAGTCACTTTGTCTCTGTGGACTTTAGTGTCACATGTGTTAGAGGGAGAGCAGACTTGCTGGCCTCAGAGTTTCTTGGTACTCTTTTCTGGTGAAAGGGTGATAGTTCAGATGTCAGTCCCACAAGGAGGTAGGTGGGGGCAGATGAGCGCCCCGTACTCCTCAGCCAGTGCCAAGGACTGACCACAGAATCCATGCCCCGGGACTAGTCTGGGAGCAGCACACAGAGCTGCCCTCTCCTTGCCGGGCCTTAGCTGCCTCCAAGTCCTACCGCAGCACCAGTATCACTTCCTTGCCCGAGGCAGCAAGTATGTCTTGTTTACCGTTGAATTCTCAGGGCTGTCACTTAGTAGGTGCTCAGTAAATATTGGTAACAGATCAGAGAACCCGTGATTGTCCAGAAGAAAGGGCAGTTCCTGATTCCCACTTCACCCCTTGTCTTCTTGTTAACCCTCAGAAGGGGGAAGGTCCTATGGGGCAGAGTGAACAGCCCTAGAGGAGGTTATCGCAGGGCAACAAAGAGTCAGAATACAGGACTTTGAATTAAGTGTAAACGGCCCCCAAACTCTTCAGAATGTGCCAGTTCTCGACGGGTTCAAGGAAAAGTCCTTGGAACTCTTCAAATACAGCGGCTAAGTTTGGTGAAAGCTCATCATGAGGTATGCTGCAGACAAGACCACGGAACTTTAAGGGTCAAATCCTTTCCCCTCCCTCACACAAGACGATAAATACATCAGTCTGACCTGGCCTGAAAGTGAAGCCCATGCTTCACAGCACGCGCTCTGCTGACGGACTGAGTTAGTCTCTTTATAAAGTCTGCTTTTGAAGCTCCGATTTATTTAACTCCTAATAGATACCAAGCATTATGCTGAAGGTTTTATTAATTAATAAGTTTATTTATTTATTCACTTATTCATCCATTTCCAGTGTTCCTAGGACTTTTGCTGGGTCCCGTTTGAAAATGCAGCCAAGGGCCAGCTCCGTGGCTGAGTGGTTAAGTTCGCGTGCTCCACTGCAGCGGCCCAGGGTTCGGATCCTGGGCACGGACGGACAAGGCACCACTCGTCAGGCCACGTTGAGGCGGCGTCCCACATCCCACAACTAGAAGGACGTGCAACTAAGATATACAACTATGTACAGGGGGGTTTGGGGAGATAAAAAGCAGGAAAAAAAAAAAAGATTGACAACAGTTGTTAGCCCAAGTGCCAATCTTTAAAAAAAAAAGAAAAGAAAAGAATATACAGCCAAAAGCTGTTATGAAATTCTGCATTCTTTCACTGACCTGTCCTGTCAAACCTGTTGTATCCAGGTGGGAATTCCTTCTCAAACTCTGATACCTTTTTCTGAATCCCCAGAAATAAGCTGAGTGCCTACAACGACTCAGGCACTTTCCTAGGCACTGGGGCAAGGATTGTAAACAAGACATAATCCCTGTTCTCACAGAATTTACAAAATATGTCATCTAATTTTCATGACAGCTCTACAAGGAGTTATTATTCTCATTTTACAGAAGAGGAAATTGAGGTAGGTATGGACACTGGTCCATTGTATCCCTCTTTACCATCAAAGTTGCAGTTTACTTAACAAGACAGGTTTTTTGTTTTTGTTTTTCGTGTGTGAGGAAGATTGGCCCTGAGCTAAAATCTCTTGCCAATCTTCCTCTTTTTGCTTGAGGAAGATGATCCCTGAGCTAATATCTATGCCAATATTCCTCTACTTTGTATATGGGATGCTGCTGCAGCATGGCTTGATGAGTGGTGTGTAGGTCCGTGCCCAGGATCTGAACATGCGAACCCCCGGCTGCCAGAGTGGAGTGTGCGAACTTAACCACTACGCCACTGGGCTGGCCCCATAACAAGACAGTTTTGTTTTGAACTATTCAGTGCATATGTTTCCACTGTCTGATCTATTCCCTGTGAGTCAATCGTCCATTCATTTGCTGCCATGAAGATCCAGCGCTCCAAGTCACCGAGGCAGGATGCTAAGATAAATAATGAGAGTATGGAGTTTTGAGTGATACACTTAGTGTTCCCCACCATGCGTTCTTATTGCTAACACACCCTGTGTATTTCCTATCCTGGGGAGCTATGAGGTTTTTGCTGAGATTTGTTCTGACAATGCTGAGCATAATATTTGAAAAATTTATAAAATGAGCATGTGTAAAATTACGGAAAAAATCTGGAAAATTTTCCACTTGAATAAAAATCAAGGATCTTTTAGTTTCTTTTCATTTTGTATGAGAAAATGCATGCCATGAAATTAAGACTGAAGACAACATAATAGTCTGGGATGTCTCCCTCATATTCTCCTATTTGGTTAGCTAGTCAATAACCTATTTCCCAAACCCGCTACGTAAAGAGCATTATGTGTGTTTTGGTATGGGGGGTTCAGTTTAATTCCTTCCTTATACTGAGGATGTATTATACATAAGGCAGAGTGTTAAGTGTTGTGATGGTTCGTTCCACTTTCAGGGGAACTGACAATGACTTTGAGGATATGAGCAAAGTCTTGACAGCAAGTTGGATCTCAACAGGTAGAGATGTTGCGTGGATGGATGCCCATGCTGAGGGCTCAGTGTGAGCAAAGGCATGGGGAGAGAAAGTGCAATGTGTGTTCAGTGACTAGGGTAGGAGGCCTGGAGCTTTGAGGGCATGGGACCGAGGAGCAAGGGAGAGGGTCTAAGCTGTTTGGCCAAGTAGACTACATCCTGGATGACAGTTTAGGAAGTTTGCCCTATAATAAAACGGGGAGAAATCAAAAGTTGTGAACAGAAAGTGAAATGATTTGGGCCTTTGGGGAAAAAAAGCAGAAGCAGAATAACTTTCAGCAACAGCAGAAGGAAGAAGAAGGAGAAGAAAGAGGAGAGAGGAGGAGGAGGATGAAGAAGAAGAGGAGTCCTACCCAGTTTGCAGTCTCCATGGAAGTGTTTGCAACATCACATGAAACTCACTTTTGGGGGAGAAGACTTAGAAATACAAAACCATTGAGAGTTTGCAGACCTTTCTGTCTTTGGCTTTGTTCTTGGTCTGCTGGACTGATTCAGATGGGTTATGCATGGCTAGAAAGACCCAGAAGTTCTGGTTCAGTCGGTGGTTGGGCTTCTGAAGACTGAGTCATTCCCTGTTTATCACCCAGCTCTTAGCAGAGGGAAGATTGCCCCAGCTGGCTTCCGGTGCCCCAGACATTCCTTTCCTGTGCTCCCATCCAGCACTGGACTTTTAGGCCCTGGCCGCAAACTGACCTCAGTCCCCTCTGCACCACTAAGGCTCACCAAGGCCTTGCAGGGCTTTCTGAGCGAGAGTCATCAACCCTTTTCTGTTTCTTTTTTGGTAGCAGGACAGTTACTTTAAACAAACAAAAAATTCTTCTTAGAATAGCTAGTTAAACTGATAGATGTGGAACCGCTGTGGTTGGAAGCAGAGATAAGGGGTTGCATGAGCCCCACCCCCAGGCACTGCTCAGGTGTTCTCTGAGTCCGGAGGGGTCCATGGAATGTGGTTTGAACACCCTGTTCTAGGCCCAGTCTTGCCAAAATCAGTTTTGTGACCAGAGATGAGGTAAATCCAAACTAAGTTCCTAAGGGATTTGGTTTTAGGGATGGGAGATGGTGACTATATGGTGCTGAGGGGGCTGAGGGGAGGAGACTGGGGGGTGAGATTTTAAGAGAAAAGGAGGCTGAAGAGCTATTTTCCATGCTCCTAGTATTTTTGTAGGGTACTTTGAAAATACAGCAAAATGCTACTATGAAACTGTGTTATTTCACTGATCTGTTTCTCCTGTCAAACCTAGTGTGCCCATGTGGGAACTGCATCCTAATGTTTTTCAAGAAAATTATGTTTTTCTATATCCCCAGAGAAACCTGTTGAGAAATTGGGCAAGAGGAAAAAAGTCTAATTCTGCTGTGAGAATTGAAGCTTACTGATCAACATAAAGCAACTACTGATCAGAAGGAATCCATGGACATCAAATTGAAAGCAAAAGCAGGGAACATTAACATGTGGATTCTGAGGGTAAGGTTGACATTTCCAGGAACCTGCTAAGGAGCACAGAGGAGAAAAGTGTCACAGTCTAATCACTAGCCTTGCTTGCAGCTGAGGCCATTGTTAGGATGTGTTCATGGGCCAGTCTGCTGCTGATGGTGACTCATTCTTGCCAATAAAATAAACATTAATAAATTTATACTCGTAGTTTACTTTATATAAACCCTATGAGTAGTGGTCCAAGAAATAATGAGTTTTGGAAGCAAAATAAGATCCTAAATTGGCAATTTAGACTTTGATTCTGTGTAGTGCTAATAACTTTGCTAGGAGATCCAGATGTTATTTAAATTATACCAAATGCTGTTTCCTGGTGTTTTCCAATGTTTGAATATTTTCTATAGGCTACAGTTCTCTGTAAATACTGCTAAAGTTAATATTTATTGTTCATTAAACAGTTTTCTAGATATCCGTGATAATGAGTAAAGAGTATGAGGAATATCAAAAGCATTTTTAAAAAATTGTATGGTTTGGGGAATTCCAGAGAATTTCCAGAGATTAGAATTTTGTATCCTGAATTCTGATTAATGTCTGTCAGGAATTTGGAAATACTACCTAGTCCAACCTCTGGCCTTGAGGTTTAAGTGTTTAAGTGATCATTTAAATGATCTCAAATCATTGAGATGGGTCCCAACTTCATTTGTGCTACGACAGTGACTTAGCAAATATTTCTCTTTAAGACCAACTTAAAGCTTGACAAGTACTCACGGTTGGCTTTAGAAATAAAGATCTTTTAACCATTTAAAATGGAAGGTTCAGGGGCTGGCCCAGTGACATAGTGGTTAGGTTTGCTCACTCTGCTTTGCTGGCCTGGGGTTTGCAGGTTCAGATCCCAGGCATGGACCTAGTGCTGCTGGTCAAGCCACGCTGTGGCAACATCCCACCTGAAATAGAGGAAAGTTGGCACAGATGTTAGCTCAGTGACAATATTCCTCAAGCAAATAGAGGAAGATTGACAACAGATGTTATCTCAGGGCCGAAATGATGCGGGCTCAGTGAGTTGAGGAGTTGAAAGAAAGATTTCTTGGACTCTCAAGGTCTGGCAGTAGTGCTCTTTTATTCAGAGAATAGTATGGAATAGCATGGGGACAGGACCCATGGGCAGTGAAGGGCTGCAAACATGGGTCAATGGTAGGGCTAAATTTAAGGCATATGTATTTGAGTTATCTCTTTACAAGACAAAGGAAAGATTATGTAAAAAAAATGTCATTAAAGTGGTATCAGTGCAGGTGGGGTCTGGTTATTGGGTGGTCCTATAACTTTAGATAAGAATCAGATTGGATTAAGTCAGGATGTCCTATGCTTCCAGGAGGATGATATAGATCGGTATGTAGAGCAGGTCACCTTGGGCTTCTCTCCCTGGGGCAGCAGTGATCCTCATGACAGCCTGTGAAATTTTATCCCGTCCAAGTTGCCAAACTGTAGGGGAGAAACACATTTCCTCTACCCGCTCTGGGTTCTTCTGGCTGCAGAATGAATTAAATTCACATGAGACAGAATAACAGGAGAAAATTAAACAAAGCTTTATAACACATGTACATGGGAGAGGCTCAGGCAACCTGGGCAACTTGCCAAAATGGCTGAAGCCGCCACCTGAAATATCATCTTCAACTAAAGACAAAGCAGGATGTTGGTGGTGGCAGGAGTCAGTTACAAGAGGTTCCCATACAAGTACAGTAAACAAGAGTAAGATTATTATGCAGATTTAAGTCCTTGCCTTCCCCATTAAGAGTTTCTAGAGATAATGTCATCCCCTCCTCTTCCTGGTGCAGAGAGGGAGACACATTTACAGATGGAGATTTCCTTTACAAATGTAAATGTCTCTTAACAAAGGGTAAGTAAATTCTACTTTTCAGAGTTTCTTTCCTGTCTGCAGTTTTTCTTTTTTTAACGTGTCTATTCTTTCTCAGCTCTGAGTCACAATATGGAGTTTCAACATATAAATGGTGAACACAGGAACAAAGTGAGCACTGGGTTGAATTATCCTTATGATTTGATTATAACGTGCATGTTTGAAGTAGAACATTTATCATATGTCATTGCTTTTGACTGGCTTTAAACCACAGCTTTATTAAAGGCTTCTTATTAAATAGGCTTTAGTTTGATCGTAAAGCAATTCTGCTTCCTGAAATCTCATTTGTCCAGGAGGAGCATCACATATTTATACTTAACATTTTGGGGTCAAACAATGGGAGGAAGGTGAATGCTTGAATTATTGCACTATTTATAATCAATGGTTGCAATAAAGCATTAGCTCTAAACTTGACTATCACTGAATATGGTCTTCAAAAATATATTGGTCTCTCTGTGTATTTTATAACTGGGAGAGAAGCTGTGTTGACTTTTGCTTCTGCCAGAAAAGGAAGGAAGAGATTTCTATGATCTAAGTTGGAGTCTGGATTAGATGGAGAGGATGAGCTTAAAAATAAATTAACTGGAACTCTGTATTTACATGACTTTTGACACCATCAGCCCACTGTCCCTCCAAAAGTTCTAATTCTACTCATCTATCCAAGACCTATTGTGTCAGTCTATAATATGGTAAGAGATTTAGGTTGTGTTAGCTGCCTGTATTATGCAAAAGCCAATAATTAAATTTTTGGAGAATAATTGTCCTGGTTAGAGTCAGTCAAAGATGTTGTCTCTAGATAAGGAATGGTTTTAAGACAGAATTGAATGAGGAACAAGTTTTTCCACAACCCTCCTTATTATTTCAAAGCGATAAAATAATGGTATCCTTAATTGCTGCTTCTTGGAAGATATGCTAGGTTAAGTCAACCTTTAAATTAATATGAACAGATTGTTAACAAGAAATATATTTTAAGTTATTAAGTATTTAGTACTTAGCATACCACAGCAATTTAAAACATTTTTTTCGATATTGTCTAATCTTCAAAATACTGAAATGGGGATTATTGGTGGGTACTGAGCTAGAGTAGTGGCAGGAGAAGGTTATATTCTGTGAAGAACTTTTAGTTCCTTTAGACAGTGATTGGAAAGTCTCTGAGCATCCCTGGATCAGAGTAGAAAAGCTGAGAAAGAGCTAAGAAATCCTTTCCCTGTGATTTGGGAGGGCAATCTCTTAATATTTTCTGAACTTGGATAGATCCAGTGGGCCAAATCTGATTCAGTCTCTTCTTCACATGTTGCTGGGGAGGGAGGGGGGTGTGGAGTGGAGGGGGGAATGGGGTTACATTCATTGTAACAAAGTTTTTTTTTTTTTTTTTTGAAACTGACAAACTGTAGTTTTAGATCTAAAATCACTAATTTGAAAACAAAACATTACCTGAATTGAATGGTGAGGCAAGGACAAAAATGCATTCTAGGTTAAAGAGAGTAGTCAACCACCTTCAGTTCTTTGGGGAACAATGGGAGTTATGAATAGACTGAGAAGGAGAGATTACTACCCTAGACAGAGAACCAGAGCTGACTGGAGAAAAAGAACTTTGTTTTCCCATCAGAGAGAAAACATTTCCAATTAGAAATAATGGAAATATGAGATTTTTAAACCATAAAAAAATAGGAGGCTTCATTTAATCCATTGTCCCTGGAGATGCCCAGTGATGTGGATTAAGGCTGCCCCAGCTAGAGAAGCCCAAGGTGACCTGGCCTACATGCCAAACTATACGACCCAGTGGACTTTTTTTATGGTATGAATTAGGGCTGCCCCAGGGAGAGAAGCCCAGGGTATCCTCACCTACATGCCGATCTATATGGCCAGATTCGTATCTAAAGTTATATGACCGCACAATAACCAGACCCCATCTGCACTGAAATCATTTAATGACTTTTTACATCATCTTTTCTTTTCTCCAGTAAAAATAAGTCACGTACCCATGCCTTATAAAATTAGCCCTAACCCTCAACTCAGGGCAGCAGCAGGAGCTCTGACCGCCCGTGGGTCCTGTCCCCACGCACCAGCTCTGCCTGCCCTTGGGTCCTGTCCCCATGCCAGCGGGGGCAGCAGCAGCTGCTCTGCCTGCCCATGGGCCCTGTCCCCATGCCAGCGGGGGCAGCAGAAGCGGCAGCAGCAGGAGCTCTGACTGCCCATGGGTCCTGTCCCCATGCTATTCCACACTATTCTCTAAATAAAAGAGCACTACTGCCAGATCTTGAGAGTCTAAGAAATCTTTCTTTCGACTCCTCAGCTCACCGACCCCGCATCACCCAGGAGGAAGGGAGTGGTACTTTCCAGGACAGAAGTGGCCAGGTCTTGCTTTGCAGGATGGGAAGGAGAGGAACGGAGAAGTGAACATCTCTTCTCTCTGCATGTGGGCTCCATAGAACTTCCCAGGCTCACATCAATTAGGTGGCTGGCAGGAGCATCGATAGCATTGTTTTCGGGCTCTTGTGTCCCTAAGAAGAGGGTGTCCCCAGGGAACATTCTATTTCTCAGGAGGACCCAGACACCCAATATGCATCTGGATGTGAATTCAGATACAGTGTCAGGTTGGGAGCTCAAGGATGTGGCAAAAGGGGAAAGGACTTTATTCCCTTTCTCCCCTTTTTTGCTAGAGGGACCATTACAAAGCTCCCTTAGTTAAAGGGGAGAATGGCAAGAGTGGTTAAAAAGTTCACGTGAAATATTTTAATAATGTCAAATATGATTTAAATTATTGTCCTGCTATCAAAATTCCAGAAGTATAAATATTTTTTCAATGAAATGCACAGCATAGTTCTCATGTTTTTTTCACTGCCTGTTCACATAATTCTTTCACTAAGAATTATGAAAACAGGAGGAGATTTTAAAAAAAAATATTTGTTAGGTGATAGAGAGCTCTAAAATATGGGTCAGACATCTATGGCTTACTTTTACGACATGAACCAGACCCACCCTTTTGATCCCAAAACACAGAGTTGGCATTTTTCCCCCTCAGTCAGACATTGTACAGACTAACCTAGAGTTAAATATATCTTGGCCAATGTGGCAAGCTGATGACCTTAGTTTTCTCTCTCAGTTCCCCCAAGGGGCAAAAAATGCTGCCTCACTGTGTGAGTTATAGTAAAGACAGAATGACAATAACCAAGAGTCCCCAGAGTACAGTAGGTGACGTGGGCCAAAGCTTTCCTGATCTGGGCTGATGGGCAGTCGTGCTCCATGCAGATGCTCAGAGACCTCAGTGCCTGCCCTATTTTTGCTCC